TTTACATCATTTTTCTCTGTTTTTATAATATTTGACATTTTATTTCTTAATTTGTCTTTTTTTTGGCATCTTTGTATTTTTTAAAATATGATTTTATTTATTTTAGATTATTTTTATTTTCATTGAACATTTATTTTTCTTTTGAGTTTTTTTTTAATTAAAAAAATCACATTTTTATTTTATTATTTAATTTATTTTTTATTTTTAGGTGTTTTTATTGTTTGCATTATTTATTTCAAATGTGCTTTTATTTTGTAGATTCTTTTTAAAGATAACTTTCTAAAAATCTATTATCCCTTTTTTCATTTACATATTATTATTCAATCCTTATTTACTTTTCTCGTGTGCTTGTATTTTTTATTTTAATGATTGATTTACTTTTTACTTCCTGTTTCTGTTTGAATCGTGTTGCGGGTCAGTGTGCGCCGTGTTAGCGTGGGCCTCTGTAGAGCACCTGGAGCTGCTGATGTGAACAAAGTTTGCTCGACTGGTTCTTGCAGGTCACTCGGCGGCCGACCTGTCGCAGGCCGAGGAGGCGGTGCAGCACGGCGCGTCCTTCATCACTCACCTGTTCAACGCCATGCTGCCTGTGAGTCCCGGCCGCTGCTCGTCTCTGAGACTCTGAGTCAGTTCCTGTTCCGCCCGGTCGCTTTTACGCTCTCAGTAATCCTTCTGTGTCTGCTGTGGTCCAGTTCCACCATCGTGACCCGGGTATAGTGGGTCTGCTGACCAGCGACAGGATCCCCGCAGGCAGGGCGGTTTATTACGGCATGATAGCTGATGGCATCCACACCAACCCTGCAGCCCTGCGCATCGCTCACAGAGCTCACCCGTCAGGTCTGCTCGAGGTTTCTATTTCACATCAGCAGCCAAAATCACGAAAATCTCCCTAAATGTATCAGAATGTTCTTGTTGTGGTAAGAGTCTGCAAACGTGTTTAAACGTGCGGCATCACCTGGGAGTAGATGGGTTTTGGACTTTGCCGTGTCTTGTGTGCTTCATACTTTCAGGTCTGGTGCTGGTGACGGACGCCATCACCGCGATGGGTCTTCCTCCCGGCCGTCACACTCTTGGCCAGCAGGTCATCGAGATCCAGGGTCTCCACGCCTACGTGGCAGGTCTGATGTTCCTCAGACGTTATTATCTAACAGGCCGTGGTTTCCTGAGCGATGCTGCAGGAAGGAGCAAACGCAGTAAAATAAATCGTTCTCGTGACGGTTTCATGTGTAAAACTCTGTAACTTCACTCTTTATGTGTTCAGGCACCAAGACGTTGAGTGGCAGCATCGCCACGATGGACATGTGTGTGCGCCACTTCAAGCAGGCCTCAGGTTTGTGTTACTTTAATGACTAAAACCAGGAAGTAGAATCATAACGAGCAGTGACGCGCTGCCTCGTGTAAACTCCAGCGGGTGAGACCTGGTTGCTGTGGCGATGCAGGTCGGATCATCATTGCTCTTCACTTCCTGCTCTGTCCTCCAGGCTGCAGTGTGCAGGAGGCTCTGGAAGCTGCCTCCCTGCATCCGGCTCAGCTTCTGGGAATCAGCCCCAAAAAGGGAAAGCTGGACTACGGCTCCGACGCAGGTCAGAGCCGACTGCATCTTTGTTTCTGCATCCCTGCTGTTAGAGCTGCTGTAGGTCCTCCTTTGTGTCCTCAGCGTTTTCTTGGATGTTAATTTGGGCTGTTAACAGTTGACCAAAGCCTGCAGTTCCTCTAGTGTCCAGCAGGGGGCCAGTCTCCATAGACTCCCATGTTAAACTCGCTCTGTTTCAGATTTACAATAAAAGTTTTAATAAGAGTAAATAAAATAACCACATGAATG